ATCGATTTTTTAATTTTTTCTTAAACAATGTGTGAAAAGAAATATTAGTTTACTAAGTTATTTTAATTTGTTAACTAATAAATATATACTATTTAATGAATTATTTAGTTAATATTTATAGTTATCAATTATTTTTATTAATTAACTTAAATACAATTAGTATTTTTAAAGATAATTTTTAAAAACATATGGCCTAGTGATAAGAATTCAATGGTGGATGATTGTATAGAATGCTTGTTGAATGGTTCTAATGATTAGACTCACAGCTTGTGCATAGAAAAGAACCAAATTACCTAAGCTACCTGTGGTTCTTACCTAAGCTACTTGTGTTGGTTAATGAGCTGAATTTATATATATATATATATTAATGTGAAATTTTTAATTTTGATTTTATTGATATTTGGATGAAGTTTATAAGATTTTACTTCATTTTATATAATTTTCATTATTTGTGTAAAAAATGACTTATTTGAAGTAAATCATAACTTTTAGTACCAAATTGTAGAGATCAAAAAGTTGAGGATTAAGTTACACAGAATTTAGAAGTTAGATACCAGGTTTGTCATTGTGCCATTAACCAAAATTGATTAGCTATATTAACCTTTAGATTGATAATTAACTATTGCTACATTACTATAATGTTCGTGGAAAATAACCATACAAGTTTTGAAATGTTTTTGCCATGAATACATCTTGTTTATAGCAAAATTTTGCTTCAAGAGTAGTAATTTAAGATAAATAGTTATAGATTTTAGCTATAAATGTATTATATTCATAGCTATAGGAATATTTGTTATATTATATTTAATTTGTAGCAAAACGTTGCTATAAGAGTGTTATTCTCGTAACAACTAATTAATTCTTTTGGTTATGAATTTAGCAATCCTATAGCTAAATAACAAAAAATTATTGTTACAGTATGATCTATCTGTGACTAATAATTTTTTTAGTCAAAATAAAATGACTAGTTGGTGCATAAATATGTTATTATGGCTAAAAGTCAAAACTACAAAATAGAGAAATTAAAGCTAAAAGGCTTGATTATTTGCTATAGAAGTCAAAAAGTTTGTAACTAACTTTTAACTATGCCATTTTTAACCACAAGAAGTTGCGAGAATTATTTATATAGCTAAATCATTTAGATATGGGATTGTTACTATTTAGCTACTGAATCTCCCATAGTTGTAGATGTAAAATGGAGTTTATAAAGAAAAGTATAAATCTTCTAAATTTACAAATTTCCCCACCCTACTATCATTCTTTGCCTTTTTTCTCCAATCCATAAGCAAATCTCAATGGTGTATAATCCACTTAAAACATTGTTGATGAAAGAGAAGATGACCTTAACGAAATACTAACCTTCCTTTTTAACAAATGGTTTTATTCCTACAAACTTAATAATGAAATTCCATGACTTTAGCTTAATAATAATTCATAACTTATGTCATTGTAATACATTTTTTTCACTATAAGGAAATATGTTTGTGCAAATTCTGACACTAGTATTATAATTAAAGATAAAGAATTTGAAAACATTAACAAAATAATCAAATAGACATTTAGTATTCTCAAATTTTATACTTTATTATTAAAATTAAAATTCAAATACCAAATAATCAAGTCTAGATGACTAAGAAATTCTTAAAATAGTTCTAAATCTTCAATTATAAAAAAGTAGTCAAACCACATATTAAGTATTCAAATTTTTACCATACTATAACAATAAAAATCTAAATATATTGTAAATTTCTCAATTGGTGGACATTTCACCTTCACCTTTACCTTCACCTTCATCTTTTATCTCCTTTTGTAACTCATTCTCATTAAGTCCATCCAAAACTCCACACTTAGGTGCCATTCATAGCTCCACTAGGTTCTATTCATATCTTTACTAAGGTGTTATATTCAATGGCCAATGTAATCCCCACACTTCCCCTAGCTTATATATCCCTACAAGTTTGAATGATCAGTGCATGGTGAAATAAGAGAAAGTTAATAACAAAGCTTTGTTATTTTGCTACCATTTTTCTTTATTTTATAATCCATTATTAGCATAATTATTTCCATGATCCAATTTGAGGTAATATATCTTAAGGTAAATCTTTATTTTTCTAGTTTAGATTTGTTTCTGTATTATAATAACATTTGATGAATTATGTAGCTATAATGTCAAACTTGACAAAACTTGAGTTTGCTACACTTAATACAACAAGTTCAAATTAGTTGCCATGGATACATGCATGATGTGAAAATCTTGGAGAAATAATTGCTCAAGGAAATGAAACATCCTTGCAAGATTGTTCTAAAGTGATCATATTCCTCTATCATCATCTCCATGAGAGATTGAAGACAAAATATTTTATAATTAAAGGTCCACTAAAACTATGGTAAAATTTGAAAGAAAGATACAATCACCAAAAATCAATGGTCCTTTCAAAAGCTCACTTTCAATGGATGCATTTATGATTGCAATATTTTAAATCTAGTGGCGAGTATAACTCTGCATTGATTTGAATTTCTTTTTAATTAAAGTTATTTGAAGGAATTATTCATATCTCAAATTTGCAACTTGAGCAACAATGAAATGCAAATTTGAATATTAACATTGCTTAATTAATTAACAAAAGTACTTAAAATAACAAAGAAAAGGAAATAATTCAATTACAAGAAACTATTGTTGTCAATGATGAACCTTACTATTACAAAACTAATAGAAGAGTTAAATTGCTTCCTCAAAGAACTATAGCAAATTTATGGAATTCATTAAGATTAAAAAAAAAAAAAAAAGACATTAAACTAAGGCCAAAAACTAGCATAAGTAGAAGTGTAGAGTTAAGACTAAACTATGAAAACTTGAAAACTAAAGTGTGCTTGAGCATTAAAAGAGAAACAATGTTGGCCTGGTTTAAAAGGCTAGTTTGTCTTGTTATATTTCATTCTTGTGTATTTATAGTGCTAACATCTTTTGATAGCATGTGAAAAATCTACAACAATATCCTAAAAATATGTAATAACTAAACTACTTTGTTGATAATGTAAGAACAGCCACCTAAGCTTTATTTGGAGAAAAATTAGTCATATAACTTGACTTAGTTGAAAAGATCACTACATGGCAACACCATTTTAACTCCCTCAGAACTAGGTTTGTTGTAATCCTTGATTTTCTCTCGAGTATCCTCAAAATTCTATATTTAAATCATTAACAAAATGATTTTATAATAAACAAAATACATGCCTACATAAATGACACATGGCACCATCTTATTTGTTACAAAATTAGATGTACACACAAATATAAGAATGGAGCATTACAATTTCTCCCACTGAAATACTTGATTACCTACTTAAGTCTAACCTAACAAACCCGCAATCACAAGATCTATTCCAAGTGATGTGAGATTTTAGAGACTAAATCACAACCATGCAGCCACATCCTTCTAAGCCTTTGTTTGATTAAGGGGACTTCTTTGACAACAAGTATTAAAGATCTACCAACATGACCTCACACTTAGAATGGGGGACTTCTCTTGAACTATAATATCCCAAATTTTCGGGAATTTTATCATTTAAGTTGGGGGCTTATTTTGGAAAAAATATTGTTTTGGGCTTAATAGCCAACATTTCCAAACTTGGGGGACTTAAAAGAGAAAAGAATTGGATAAGGACCGGGTGATTTTTCTTCCTTCTTTCTTCCCCAGCCATTTCGCGTTTCTGCTCTTCTTTTCTTCCCCCTACACCGAGCAAGAAAGCCCAGCCACCAACCCACACCACCCCTTGGAAAACCGGTAAGAAGCTTGAGATTTTCCTTCCTTTTCTTGTTCAAGGACAAGATTTAGGACTTAGGACACTCTCCCAAACCCAGAATTTTCCAGATCTGCATTGTTTCCTTTTCCCTTGCTGTCCGTCAGCTTCTGCTATGTGTGATTTCTGGGCATTTTTCCGGTAAGCCTCAGCCATGAGCTTCATCTTTTCAGCTTGATTTAGCTTGGGTTCATGTTAAATCTGTTGTTTTTCCAATTTTTGGATAGATTTCCCGAATTTCCCCTTGCACTTCCTGCCGGCTCTTCCGCAATTTGCAACTTCGGTTTGCTTGCTGGATTTCCTGGTATGTGACAGCCCTTTAAGCCTAAAATTATCCATTTAATTTCCTGCCTTGTGATGTCCGAAATTCTGCAAAAAATGGGGATGAATTCTGGTAGCTTTAGGACAAATTTTAAGCATTAATTCAAGTGGAATTTATGTGATTGAGTGTTAATTGACTGCTGTGAGATTTCGGAGAAAAATCCCGTGAGATTAGCTATGGTTTTGCCAATTTTTGGAAATTGCAGTTACTGTTCATTGCGTGATTACTGTTTACGGGTACTGTTCATGCACTATTGGCCAACAATAGGAGGGTTTAAATGTGTAGTTATATTGAGAATTAAATTGAGATGTTTGGTGATATGGTTGAATTTCTTGTGAAGCTCATTGGTTAGTAAATTTGCAAGGTTGTGCTAATAATTCTAGCAAAGTTTGAATGTATTTATTTGGAATATTAAGTGCTGTTATGGCTTAGAGCACTTGGATTGAGTCCTCGGTTTTGTGCGATTTGAGGTAAGTAAATTATGGTAATGCCCTCCGATTTTAAAGCACATTTTAACTTGTTTTTGTTTTTGAAGTGATGGCGGGACTAAACCCGTTTTATACAAAAATGAGCATGATTAATTTGAAATAAGATTATTATTCTTTTTATTGATTTGAGTATGCCTGCTTGGAGTTTATTTAACCGCTCTGATGATATGGAAATTATCTGTAAAGTATGATTTTTTGTTAAATTTTGCCTGTTTTGTCTCCAATATGGTCATGTTATTCGTGTGCCCGCTAGTTGGAGGTTTATAAACGTTAGCACATGTCAACATGTTATTGATAGAATCGGTTCGTTTATGTGATTGTTATCCTGCTAGTGGGATTATGCACTAGTAAATCGTGTGCCTACTAGTGGAAGGTTTATAACA